TATGATTCTATGATTCTGTGATTCTATGATTCTATGATTCTCATTCTCTCTCCTCCTCTTCTTCCAGGGAGAAACAAAGATCCTGAAGCTGAAGAACCTTCGCCCTCAGGACTACGCCAACTACAGCTGCATCGCGTCCGTACGGAATGTCTGCAGCATCCCGGACAAGATGGTCTCCTTCCGCCTCTCCAACAAGACAGGTGGGGCTCCAGTACCGTCCCTTCACTCCTCATTCCTTTGGGTTGGGGTTCTCTCATGGAGTCATGGAAAGGTTTGGGTTGGAAGGACCTTCGGGACCATCTTGTTCTGCCCCCTGCCACGGCCGAGATGCCAGGGCCGAGAATCCTGGAATGGTTTGGGTGGGAAGGGAACTTAAAGATCTTCTCGTTTCAACTTCCCTGCCATGGGCAGGGACACCTTCCACCAGCCCAGGTTGCTCCAGCCTGGCCTTGGAACTTCCAGGGATCCAGGGGCAGCCACAGCTGCTCTGGGAATTCTATTCCAGCCCCTCCCCACCCTCCCAGCCAGAAATTCCTTCCCAATATCCCACCTAAATCCTCCCTTTTCCAGCTCAAAGCCATTCCCTGTGTTCTGTCACTCCATCCCTTGTCCCCAGTCCCTCTCCAGCTCTCCTGGAGCCCCTTTAGGCCCTGCAAGGGGCTCTCAGCTCTCCCTGGAGCCTTCTCTTCTCCAGGGGAACTCCCCTAGCTCTCCCAGCCTGGCTCCATCTTTGTGACCTGCTCTGCAATCCCTCCAAGAATTCCATGTCTTTCCCGTGCTGTGTTGACAACTAAGAATTTTTCTTCCAAACAAATATTTCCCATTTAAAAAAAAAAACAAACCAACAAAAACCAACCATTTCATATCCTTACATTGATTTAAAGGATTGATTTTCTCAGAGGATTGATTTAATATGTTCTTACATCGACTCAAACTTCAATTCCGTGCATTGATTTAAACAGAAATGTGTTATTTTAGATTTATTTAGTTCAAACGGGAATATCCAAGCAGGTGTGTTGAAATGCTTTGCAAAAGGGTAACTAAGTATTCAGGTGGAATCTCTGGCCAAGTCGTTTCCATGTCTGGAATTCCTTGGGAATTTACTCTTCTCTTTGGGCTCGTCCCTGCCTGAGCAAACGGTTGGTTGTGTCTCTGCCCCTTGGTATGGTTTTGTGTCTCGAGAGCCTCGTTCCAGTGGTCAATCCCAAGAAATGCCATTGGGAATGCTGATTTCCAGCATGGAAATCACAGATTTGAACTCTCCTGAGGTCTCTGTGTCCAGGATCTGCAGTGTCTGAAATGCTACAGAGCAAAGTTCTCACCTTGGATTTGGGGATCATTAGGAATTTCAGAGGGGTGTGTTGTGGAGAACAATTCCACAGGAAATCTTGGAACATTTGGATACTTGAGGTTGGATTAGGTTTTGTCTCAGGGCCCTGAAATCAGGGAGCAAAGGAACGGAGCAGAGGAGGCATCAACATTCCGAGGACGTCGGAGACGAGCGACGAGTTTTATTTGCACTCTCACATCTCCCGTTATTTGTGTCCTCGTGGCTTTGATTCCAAGGATTTGCCTTCAGCTCCTCCTGGATTGCTGATTTGGCAGCAGGGACTTCAGGCCTGTGGTGTTTTCACTGCTCCACAACCGCCTGGGAATTATGGAGGCTCCAAAGACATCCAGCAGAATTATTTGGGAGCCCTTAATTTAGTGCCTCATTAATTTTGCCAGGGGAAAAAAAAAACCCTAAATATCCTGCAGTGAGGTTTGTCCCTCCTGTTTGCCACAGGGAAGCGTGGGAGCAACTTCCTCCAAGCAGCAACTCACTGTGGTGGTTTGAGCCACCACAAAAATCCCATCTCCAATTTCCACCCGAAGGGGTGGGGGAAGCCTGGAAATTGGAGTTGGGATTTTTGTGGTTGCTCAAACCACCACATACCACAAAAATCCAAACTCCAACTTCCACATGAAGGGGTGAGGGAAGCCTGGAAATTGGATTTGGGATTTTTGTGGTGGCTCACTCAAACCAGCACATTTTTGATGCCATGACTCTGATTTTTGGATTGGCTGCGAGAGACTTGTTGAAATAACGAAGAGAAGTTTTCAGGCATGACAGGCTGTACCACTGTTGAGAGGGCAGAGCTTTAACTGTAATTTAAGTGCTTAATACAGAGTTAAATTTGTGATAATGTTGTGCTAAGGTATGGTAGAAGGATTCCTATTTCATTTTAGGTTATATGTTAATTGCAGAGTATTGAAATTGTTGTGATATCTGATTTTTCACCATAGGGAAGGGGAGGGGGAAGCCTGGAAATTGGATTTGGGATTTTTGCGGTGGCTCAAACCACCACACTCATCCACCTCCATCCATAGGAAGAGTGTGGGAATTGTCACCTCTCCCCTTTTTCCCAACTCTGCTGTTGCAGCCACAACCCCCTCTGTCCACGCTGAGCACCAGAAATTCCTGTTAACGTTGATGGGAGACCATCAAACCGTCATTTTCAGAGCCCAGGGCAGGTGATTGGGGGGTAATTTTGCAAAAAGAATGAATTATTCCCACCTCCCAGATGCCGTGTTTATTTTGGGAGAAGATTGTCTGGCTGGAGTAATTTCCAAAGCAAACAAGCCCGAAAAAATTACACAAATTCACACTTTCTCCTGAGGAATTTGGTTGCAAGCATCAAGGGCGAGATTAGATGTGAACAGTGATTACTGCAACAGCTCATTCCAGACAGGGACTGATGTGGTGATGACTCTGAGGCAAAACTGTTCTCATTTAATAAGATTTTTGCCTCATACAGAAGTTCTGTGGTCAAACTTCACCTGGTGTAACTCCGTAGGAATTGTAGAAATTGTAAACCCAGAGAAATCCAAGATAAATCCAAACTAATGAAAATCAGAGCCTGAAGCTGATATTGTTTTGGTGCAGAGCTGTCCTACCCTGTCCATCTGGTTTTAATTTGGATCTGGAGGCTTGTCCTGGAGAGACAGGAGTGTCTGTGAGGTGCAAACTGCACCCTATTTATTGGGATTGTTGTGTCCACAAGAGGGATTAAATTCAGCTGTAAAGTGTGGGATCTAATGGAAAATTGCTGGCAATTTGGCTGTTCTGCATTTCATGGAATCCCAGGATGGTTTGGGTTGGAAAGGACCTCAAAGCCCATCCCGTGTCACACCTGCCATGGGCAGGGACACCTTCCACTAGCCCAGGTTGCTCCAACCTGGCCTTGGACAGTTCCAGGGATCCAGGGGCAGCCACAGCTTCTCTGGGCAACCTGTCCCAGAGGAATATTTTTCCCAACTTCCCTAATTCCCTTAACACTGTATTGTCTGAATGACAGGAAACAAAGCAAGTTTATCAGAACAAACTACATCTTAATGGAGGGATTAAAAACGATTTCAACCCTTTTTGAATTAATTTCTCACACTCCCCAGACAAAACAGCAGCTTCAGCTGGGATTTCAATGAGCTTTGTCAGGCAGCTGAAAAATCACGTATTGAAACCCTCATCTTTGGTGGTAAAAGTTCCTGTGCTGGGTTATTTTACATTGGAAGCTGCCAAAAATCAGCCTCAATTAATGTATTAAGGATGCCTTGCACTAAAGAGCCTGAACTGGCTGCTAAATTATAAACTAATATAATTTCCAAACAAGTCTGTGCCACCAAATCGAGATCAAAACTTTGATTTGCTTTTGCTTATTCATATCAGAACGAGCCTTATGAGAAGCCCAGAATTCCAGTGGTTTTCTGGGTAAATATCCTGCCTTTTCTCTAAGAGTTTGGAACAATGAACACTCCTGAAAGGATCCATTCATGTTATTATTAGCTCAGAGCACTCAGATGTGCCATTCAGCCTGAGCTGGGTCTAAAATTACCTTCCCCGGCCCAGAAGATGAAACAGTGACTCACAGGGAGACTGGGGGTGGATTTTGGTGTCATCTGTCAATAATTCCTGCTTGACACACAGCAGAGTTATGGAATAACATAACTTGGAATAACAGATCCATGGATTTCTACAGCAGGATGAACTTGTCGCTGCCAAGAGGCACCTCCTGCTCCAAGCATTTCCAGGCTTAGGATCCTGGAATGGTTTGGGTGGGAAGGGACCTTAAAGCCCATCCAGTGCCACCCCTGCCATGGGCAGGGACACCTTCCACCAGCCCAGGTTGCTCCAACCTGGCCTTGGACACTTCCAGGGATCCAGGAGCAGCCATATGTTTGAAAAGGATGTGGAGGGGCTGGAGTGTGTGCAGGGAAGGGAAGGGAGCTGGGGAGGGGCTGGAGCAGCAGGAGGGGCTGAGGGAGCTGGGGGGGCTCAGCCTGGAGGAAAAGAGGCTCAGGGGGGACCTTCTGGATCCCTAAAATTCCCTGGAAGGAGTTGGGGCCAGGGGGTGTTCAGGCTCTGCTCCCAGGGAACAAGGGACAGGAGGGGAGGGAAGGGCCTCCAGCTGTGCCAGGGGAAGTTTAAAATGAATATTGGGAAAAAGTTCTCCACAGAAAGGGCTGCCCAGCCCTGGCACAGCTGCCCAGGGCATGGGTGGAGTCCCCATCCCTGGAAGTGTTCAAAACCTGTGTGGATGTGGCACATCAGTGGTGGCCTTGGCCATGCTGAGGGAGAACAGTTGGACTCCACGATCTCAGAGATTTTCCCAACCTTAACGATTCCATGATTCTACAAGATTGTAAAAGATCCTAAAAGATTCTAAAAGATTGTAAAAGATCCTAAAAGATTCTAAAAGGAAGCATCTCTTTTCTTTTCACCTGGGATCACACCATCTCCACCTCCCCTGGTCCTCTTGGCCTCCTCTGCCCCCTCCCTGGTGCAGTTCAGTGTCTGGGGGCACACAGAGCTCTCCACAGGTCCCAGCTTTGTAAGAACCAGGTTCAACACCCTCCAATCCACGTGTTTCCCAACAAATTAATTCTTATTTCATCCCAGTTTGACAAGTCCCTTTTCCCCAGCAGGCCTTGCTGATGTTTGCTTTGTGTCCAGATTGCTCCTCCACCACCCTGAGGGGCCTTTCTCGTCAGCTCCTCATTAGCCACTCCTTGCTGAGGCACTAATTAGGCCGTGGCTGTTGCAGCAGGGCTTGTCTGGGGTGTCAGCAGAGCTCAGCTGTGGGGGGGGGTTGAAGAGCAGCTCATCCAGGCTATTTTTGGAAAGCAGGAATTGTGCTTTGGGGGGGGTTGGATCTTGTCAAGG